AGAATGAAGAGAAAGAGAGACACAGAGGGAGTGAGAGGGAGAACAAGCTTTCAAGTTAAAGAGACACCTTTTTTTCTTTAGTATTAGACCCCCTATTGAGCCCATTTGCATTTTTGCGTTTGCCTTTGCCAGGGAAATTGTTGACTGGGGCTTTTATAACCTTAGGCTTTCCACTTGGTAATCAGGCCAGGTTTGTATGTAGAAAATTATGAAATATTATTAGAGGAGATGAGGAAGGTGGCTGGGTCAAAGAAAAATTGGGCCTTAGAGCTGGTGGTATTGGAGTTGTTTTTGTATGGCTACCAAGGCCAGTGGATGAGGGGGTTCCCTCCTAGTTGGAGGCATCCCAGTGCTTGGGAAGTATGGGGAGGCAGAGAAGTGAGGAGGCCCAGAAAACCTGAGGGGTTTTTGGAATTGGTTGCTTTAGTCATGGTTCCACGTGTGTTTTAGGGAGAAGGCAATGGGATAGTGCAGCGAGCCATTTTTAGTGATGAGACACATAGCCAGTGGGTGGTTTTATTTTGTTTCAGGTGTGTTTGGTTAAGGAGTTTATAAGTAAGGTTGAGGGTATGGCACAGGTAGCTGATTTTAAGTTTAGAGACCACTGTAGCTCCAGAGGGAGTGAGAAGGAGGTATCATTAGGAGAGGAGGGGGAGAAAAGGAGCAGGTGGGGAAGATTGGGAGGGAGGCTATCTATGAAAGGTCATATGTGGAGGGCCAGGAAGGTCTGGATCAGGAGGGTTCTGGAGTACTGCACATGCTGGGAGTGGATGTGGGACATAAGGTGGGGGTGACAGATAGGGAAGAGGCTCATTTGTTGGATCAAAACCTGGGAAAGCCTCAGGATTACAGGGTTGAGAAAGGTCTTTAGAGGCCTTAGTGGCTAGAAGGAGCTGAGCAGATGAACAGGAAGAGTAGAGATGGGTTGGAGTGAAGGGAAGAAAAAGCCTGAACAGAGAAGTTCTCTCCATTTCCTGGAGCACTTACAGAAGTTTTGTAAGTCCCCGAGAATGTTAGGTTTGAAAGTGCCATTAGGTGGCTATTTGGAGCCATTATCTCAATCATATTGGGGCCATGCTTGGTTGCAGAGAAAAATGAGTTTTTGTGCCTTCAGATCTGGAGTTAAATGGAGAAGCTTAAGGTGAGCTAGCATACATCCCAAAGAAGAGTTGTCGGGGGTGGGGGGATTTTGGATAGATTTTTTTTTTCCATGGTGAGCAGAAAGACTGGGAGGAAGAGAGGAAAGAATTCTTGAGTCTCTAGTATCCCAGAAGCAGCCCACTGAGGGTCCTCAACCATTGCTGCTAGGAGTTTCTCGGCTTATCCCAGTGGAATTTGTTCTAAATGGGTAGTCCTGTGGAAGTCTAGACCCTGCACCAGGGTTTCCCATCTAGAGAAACTAGACTCTATTATGCTCGAATTTGGAACCCCCAAAAGACCACCAGAGACCAAGATCGATGTAAGCAGCAAAGAGGTGTTTATTGCAAGCTAGCTCGGTCCTCCACATGCACACAGCAACTGGTGACGCTGAGGGGCCCCGAGCCCAGGGTTTGCAGCAGTTTTATACACTCTTTGGGGAAGGCAGGGACTTCACATACATCATAGCATCTCTTAGCAAATCATCACACACCACAGGAAAATCAAATAACAACTCTAAAGCATGATTAGCACATTCACTGGCGGGAACAAGTTGGGTAGGGGTGATTGGTTACTACAAGAGGGGAATTCGTTTGAACTGATTGGTTTAAGCCATGAGGGGAGTACATGCTGAACTACATGGTTTCCCAATTTGTTATCAACCACCATAAACTACTGGGAGGGTCATCTGGCATCCCAGGTATTTCCCTGTCTCATGCTGATTGGTGGCTGCTAGGGGGTTGCTATGGGTCCCCATCTAGCCTGACTGAGTCAGAGACACCTGGTGAAGCAGATCTCTCCTCTTATTTGTAGATAAACAACTCAGCAGGGTGGGTATGTGCCTAGGAGTGCTCTGTGGGTCTTTCCAAGGACAAGGGTCATGCCCCCTTCCTTGGACAGGCTTTGCTCTGAGGTAGAGGCTGGTTTTTCAACTCTACTCCAGAAAGGAGACTCACTAGGAGCTAGTCCCTTTGGGACCAATTAGCTGGTGTTGAGTGAGTGGCTGTAGTGCTCCAAGGAAAGAAGGAGTTTTCCTGAGAGATTTGAGTGCCCTATTTGAATCAGGGGTTCACCAAAGCAGCTCAGATCCCCTGAGGGAGAGCAGGATCCATGGAAAGACATCCCTGATTCCTGGCCAGTACAACAATGCTAGGACAGAATGCTCAAAGAAATCTCTCTAGACAGAGTCTCATGTTCAAAAGCAAAGTTTAATGACAGGGAAAGCCTGCCAGGCTGCCCAGTAGAGTGGTGCAGCAGACAGAGTTGTTTTAAGAGGGTTTTATATCCTTTTAAATATAAAGGAATAAGAGGAATAAGAGCAAGTTAGGCATGGCCTTAAGTGTAGCTGCTAGAATTGACCTTGAATGCAGGTGGCTGGGCAATAACAGAACTTTGTATTTAGGGACCTTGATTGGGGGGTATGCGAACAGGGTATTTTAAGTTTCTTTCTTTTGGTAGTTTATAAGCCCCAGCCTGTGCCAAGAGGCAGTTCCAGAACCAAAATGGAGTCACCAATGTTCAGGATATCTCATTAGTAAGAGCAGAAGCTTTGGGGGAAAATAATTAGTTGATATGAGACACAAGTAAATGGAGGTGCTTGTGAGAATTCCATGAGTCTCCCAGTTCACCCATGATATCTATGACTGCAGTTCACTCAAAGAGGTCAAGTATCAAGGTAAAGTTATATGAGTTATCAGGTAAGATATGATACTTTGAAATTAGATTGCCCAAGAATCAATCTCTCTCTCTCTCTCTCTCTCTCTCTCTCTCTCTCTCTCTCTCTCTCTCACACACACACACACACACACACACACACACTCACATGTGTGAAAAAAGAAGCACTGAACTAAGGACAGTGCACTGGGTAACATTGACTGTTTAAGGATGAGCAGGTAAGAATAGACTGACATGTAATGGTCAAAGAAAGGAAAAGTCAGAGAGATTTGTCACAAAGAAAAAAAAAGTGAAAAATTTTAGGAATAAGAAAACAATACCAAATGCAATAGGAAGATCCAACAAGATTGCCTGAAATGTGTCCTTTGTATTTTGAAATATCACTGTGATTTTCATGAAATAATTGGAGCAGTAGTCATATTTTAAGAGCATGGAGGGTAAAAAATAGTGGAAAACTGTACATACTACATGGCCGACTTTTTGAAGAATCTTAAAAGAAAAAAAAAAAGAATTTCATCAAGTAATCTCACTCCACACTACTTTGTCTGGCTTTCAAAGTCATCCAGTCAATCCTCAATCAAATTTTCAACCCTTTTTCCCATTTTTCAATACAGGGTGCTTCAGTTTAAAAATTAGTGCATACTGGCTGGGTGTGGTGGTGCATGTCTGTAATCCCAGTGGCTCTGTAATCCCAGCAGCTCAGGAGGCTGAGACAGGAGGATCCTGAGTTCAAAGCCAGCCTCAGCAAAAGTGAGGCACTAAGCAACTCAGTGAGACCCAGTCTCTAAATAAAGTACAAAATTGGGCTGGGGATGTGGCTCAGTGGTTGAGTGCCCCTGAGTTCAATCCCCAGTAACCCTACTACCCCCCCCCCCCAATTAGTGCATATTAATTATCCAGAACACTGGAATTCATCATGACATATTCATACATGCATTTAATGTATTTTGATTGTTTGTGAAGAGTTATGGAAAATAGTAATCCTACAAAACAACCCCCAAAGAAAAGCAGAGAAACAATGCAGCTTGGGAGGAGAGAGGAGAAACTAACCAAGCATTAACTTTCCAGTAAATCCTTTCCTGATAACAGTGGGCCAGAAGGAAGGAGCTGAATACTGAAACTCTGGGAAACAATAAATTCCAGAAAAAGAAATATCCATCCCTCACAGTCTGGATTCCTATCTTTCCAAGTAACAATGAGTCTCAACTTGACCTCCTGAGTTAAAAGTTTTAACCTACTTAACTAACCCCTCACTGTCTGAACTACACACCCACAAGTTCCAATGATAAAATCACCCTAACTGTACCCTAAAAAACCAAATCCCCTCTGTAACCGATGGTCATTTTCCCATCAAGAAAATGAGTCCCAATGCTGCCTGATTCTGGAAAGAACAATAAGTGGCTTCACCAAATCTGTTGAAGTCTGCACCTGTCATTTTAGGCTGACAGTTTGTACCCCTATTATTCCTTTTAAACCATCCCTTCCCCTCCCCATGCTCCACTTCACTAATAAAGTACATTCTATATTCATGTTATATTTTTTCCTAGATTCTACATATGAAATAAAACATGAGATATTTGCCTTTCTGAGCCTGGCTTATTTGGCTTAACATGATTATATCCAGTTCCATTCTTTCCTGCAAATGACATGATTTTTTTTTATTTCATGAATGGATAAATACTCCATTGTGTATACATACATTTTTTTATTCAATAATTTTTTGAGGGACACATCTGTTGATTCTATAACTTGGCTGTTGTGAATTGTGCCACAAAAATCATGGCTGTGCAGGTATCTCTATAGTATGCTGACTTTAATTCCTTTGAATATATACCAAAGAGGTGTATAGCTGGATGGTATGGCAATTTTTTTTTTCTGAAGACCCTCCATACTGATTTCTGTAGTGTCTGTATACCCCATTCCCTCACAAATTCACACATATATGGCTTCTGTCCATGTCACAAAGTTTAAACTTCATTTTTTATGGTACTAGGGTTGGAATCCATGGCCTCACACAGATTGGCAAGCATTTGATCACTGAGCTGTATCACAGTCACTCTCTGTGACCTGACTCTTGGAGTGAGCACCTGCTGACCCAGTGAAGAAAGCAGTCTTTGAATCTTAGAGACACAAAAAATTCAGGGGTTTCTGATCTCCCATACAGAAATCCTAGAAAACTGGACACTTACTTAGGATGGATCCCCATTATTGTGCCATCTGAATCTGAGCAGAAATGCAGAGTATCTCTTCTCACAGGCCAGCTTGCTAAGCAGAATCCAGATCTACTCTGTTCAGACTGCACACTTGTTTAGTAACAGAGCCTGCATTCCTTAGCTTGTTGGAATTCCTTCTTTTCAGCCTGTCAAAGGAGAGATTCCCCTCCCCCACTGAGCCACTGTATTCAGTGCTGGTATGCTCTATTATTATATCTGTTATCATTCTAAAAGCAATGTTTCTGGATTTTACCCAGTCACAGACTCTCTTTGAGTTGCCCTCCAATGGCCTCTCCAGCTCATCATGAAACCAAACACCTGTAAATGCGGAGTTCTTCTACTCTGCCATCTTTTCCATCCTGGTTGCCCCTTTATAGTCAGGTAAAGATAGTAAAAATTTCCTGCAACTGGCATACTATCCTTCCTCCATGATTTTTCTCTTATCCCTTACTCTGCATGTCTCTGACATTCTGACAACCTGTGTGCTCTGGTGTGTCCTTCACCTAATCAAATACAATGCCAAACCTAAAAAGCAAGATAAAATCCTATCAACCTCCTTTATCCTGGGCTGGGATATAGCTCAGGTAGTAGAGTGCTTGCTTCACATGCACAAGGCCCTGGGTTCAATCCGCAGCACAAAACAACAACAACAACAACAAAAAAAAAACACAAAAAAACAACCTATCCCCCAATTTTTTTCTGTATTATTTTTTATACTGTCACCATTATAACAATTATAAATAGCATAAAGCATTATTTTTAAATCAGGGATTGAACCCAGGGGCATTTAACCATCAGGCCACATCCCCAGCCTTTTTTAGAGAGAGAGAGGGTCTCACTAAGTTGTTTATGGCCTCGCTAAATTGCTGAGGCTGGCTTTCAACTTGTGGTCCTCTTGTCTCAGCCTCCCAAACTGCTGGGTTTACAGGTGTGCAACATCATGCCCAGTAAGTACATCAAGCAATTCTCCAAATGCCAATGGGTCTTGTCTCACCTAGTTTTTCCAGAGCATGACCAATATTTCTCATGAATATTCTACATGTCTCCTACAGGAATGGATGCATAGTAGCATTCAGTAAATATTTGTTGTGTGATTACCAACTTCATAAATTGGCTTTGGATTAATAGAACAAATATCATGGTCTTTCACTGTACTTAAGTCAGAGGCCTCATATCTAAAACCACAAGATCATCATATCAAAGGATACCTTGAGGTAAAGAAGGGAATCTCAGAAGTCCTTTTATTTAAAGCTTTTATTTCCTTATTTCCAATTTCTTTATTTCCTAGGGCTTCAATTTTGTTAGAAAACCTTCCTCCTTTGTCTCAGTTTCTCTGATCTACTCTGCTTACAAAAAAAATAGGGTGGGGCTTGCTCATTGCTCAGTCAGTTCAGAATTCCTCTTGTTACTTTCTTTTGCTAGGTTTCCATTATTCTCTGAAATGGCAAGAATGAAATGAACCTAAGAGATCTTATAAATAGTGTGACCCCTTTCATTTTACAAGAAAAAGTGTTCTTCAATCAGATGGAAAATTCATGGCAGAGTCCATATGAGCATTCATATCCCATAATTCATATCCCAATGTACTTTTATGGTTGCCACCTCCATTTTACCTTACAACCCCCTATTATGTCCCCATGATGGGGTCATCTATCCTTTTCGTAAGTATTTTCAGTGATGGAGGTCTCATTGAATACTTAGTCCATTCCGGGCACAGGAAAATGATTCTGTATGCTATGCTGTAATTTATTTCCATGTAGCTTCATTCCATAAGTCTACCATGAGGGAATACACAGAAGAGATCTGATTGTTCATTCTCAACTCAACCACTTAAGTGATTGAAAGATACTCCAGAGCATACTAAATTTTTATACTCCAAGCTAAATATTCGCAGTGGCTTCTTCTGTTTACCCTATTGAGTCAAGAACAAAACAAAAGTCAGGCAGTTAGTATAGATAGATGATCAGCTAATCCAAAGGGTATGGAATGTTAATACCTTCAGGACACATCCCCTTCCCCTCCCTCATGACCAAAATCACCAACCTGTGGTATATTAAAATGTTAATTCCTTCAGGATACATTGCCCCTTCCCTTCCCTCACCAGAGTCCAAAATGTCACATGCAAGGGGGTGGATTGATCCTGCCAGCAGAAATATTCCCTGGGTGGCTCCCTTCCTTCTTCTCTGAGTAGACAATGTAAAATGAGGAGAGATACCCTGAATTCCCCCCTTTCCCACCTTTTTTGTCATATGGGCAGGATAGGAGTGGGCATGACAAGTAAGAAACCTGGAAACTATAAAGAGATAAGATTCACCCCCCTCCCATGGATACCCAGTTTTGGGACCCCTTCTCTGTGGATAAGTCTGTAGAATTATTCTAGCCTTTAAATAAAACTTGCTTTCTACACTCGGTGTTTCTTCTGTGTTCAATCTTCAACATCTGTGCAAGCGGAATCATCATCACCAATAATAGTATGACATGCTTTCATGTCCCCTCATCATCTTTGACTCTTTGCAAGAAGCATGTCCTATATTTCTCTTTATGTGTAATGTCAAATGCTGAATGTAGTGATGCAGGTTTGTCCTGATCAGTGAGTAGAGTTGATCATTTTGATCAATTTGAATAATGACTCCTATGATTGAATTAAACTGTTAACCAAAACATCATATTAATGACTCATACTGAACTTATAATCAGTTACTCCTGCTAAGCCACATCTTCTGTAGTACTTGTGCCAATAAGTCAATATCTTTAGTACACATTGATTTTATCTCCCTGCAACCTCTATGAGATTCGATCAAAACAATGTTCTTATTGAAATATAACAGAAAAATAAATTATACTGAGTTGAAGCTATAGTCCTGTATCATGCTATTAGAGAATGAGACCTCCCTCCAGGTGAACATAGATCCATTAGTCAACCATTTTAAAAACTCATTCAAGCAGGCTTCATAACTAGGTGTCCAAAGCTGTCCCTTTCTATGCTATTTTTTTCACCACATGAAACCACAAGACTAAATCTCAGTGTTTTGATAGCAGACCTTCTGAAGGAGAGGAGAGGGTTCACCTTTTAGTTATCAGAGCTTAGCTTTGTTTCAGAGCTAGAGATGTATACACAAACTAATGCTACCAAGAATTCAAATTCATTCAAATGACTATTAATTTTTTGTATGTACACAGAGTCATGCAAAGACAAGATTATGTTTGTTTGTTTATTTTCTTTGCAATCAAAGTTGCTACTAGTTTAGAATAACTTATCATGACCTTAAGATATTTTATGTAAGCCTCATAGTAACTATGTAAAAACTTACAATAGATTTCCTTTTAATAAAAAGCCTCCATTTTTCACTTTTTCATATATTTACAACATATTCTTAGCATCCTGCCCCATTTTCTCTTTACTTACTAAACTGTAACCCTTCTATATAATAGAACAATATATGCTATGTACTTCCTATACAATTCATGTTCTCATAACTATTAATTCAGTGGATGATGTAGTATAAACCTGCTGTTTAAAGCCACATCTAGTTTGCATTTTTTAAAATATTTATTTATTTTTTTAGTTATCGGCAGACACAACATCTTTGTTGGTATGTGGTGCTGAGGTTCGAACCCGGGCCGCATGTATGCCAGACGAGCGCGCTACCGCTTGAGCCACATCCCCAGCCCCTAGTTTGCATTTTTAAATTGTTGATGGTAATGTTAAATTCTGACCCATCATTCCTATATAGGTGGTAATTAGAGTTGTAGACATCAAAGTAGACAACAGATATTTATATTAAGGCAGTACATATATTCTTAATGTTATGCTATCCCTGAATCCTCACTTTCTTAGAGGCTGGAAAGTTATTGAAACATATCAAGTTCACATAATAGAAATGTTGCTGACAAGCAATACTCACAACTGAAGCAAGTAACATTGAATCTCATCCACACATAATCTAGCCCTATCTGAACCTCAACAATACTTCAACACATTGATTAGGGGAGACAGCAATCCCAAACTAACAATCAGGCCCCAAGGAAAAACCATCAATTTGGGACTTCAGTTCCCACTACTGGAGTGGGTCGGTCGGCAATTTTCCTGGGAGCGTACGGGCCATTGGCGGCAGTTTCAAAAATAAAGTTTGTTCCTGCTTGAGTGGCTCGTGATTTTGTGCCCAGCCAGACTGCAGCAATTGGTGGCCTGTGCGGGGGACACCTGAAGCTTTGAGCTGAGTAAAATTGCTCGCCCCTGAGGGAAGGCGAGAGAATGGGTGACCATTTCAAAAAACAATGTGTTCTTGTTTTGATTTATTTTGTTTTTGTTTCAAGCTGCCTATCCCTAGAACTTTCTCAGGCAAACTGGGAAAAATGGTTGGCTCAAGGTTTGAAGTTGTTCGGCCCTGAGAAAGAGAAAATTGATACAATGATTTTTTGTTCCGTTTCTGTTTCATTCTGTTTCGGTTTTGTTTTATGTTATCTTATTGGGTTGCTTTACCTTTATAGTAGATTAGAAATTAGTAAAAAACAAACCGAAAGACTGTTAAGTAAATTGTTAGAGGTCCAGAATATGGTAGAAAACATGTTAGGTCAAGCAAAAGAAAAGGTCTCTCGAGCTAGTCAGACAGAGGAAAATTTAAAGGAAGAAAGCTTAAAGGACAAACAACCATCGGGGGGGAGCTACAACAGGAGGCTGCTACTAACTCTGTTCTATCACTAGAGGGCGTAATTCAACCAACAGCTCCATCTACAGCTGAGTGGCCCTCAACCCCCGTAATTGATGGACAGAATCCTGAGGCAGGACCTCAAAGATTAGCATGCCCTGTACTTGAGCAGGCAGGAGGGCAACGAATTCACCGTGCTTTAGATTTCAAAACAGTGAAGCAATTAAAGGAGGCTGTAACAACCTATGGTCCCCAAGCATGGTCGAATCCATTACCAACTTGGACATGACACCAGCAGATTGGGCTAACATGTGTCGATCTGTGCTAAATGGAGGACAATATTTGTTATGGAAGGTTGCCAATGAGGAATTCTGCACGGAGACAGCTAGGCGAAATGCAGCAGCCAGTTACCCTCAAAGAAATCTAGATATGTTG